GTTCTGTCCACAAGTAGAAGGTGAGAGAATAATTTCAGATTCAAATATTCCATCAAATAGCCCAAAAACTCAGTAAATTTAACAAAAAGTTGTACTACCAATGTACTCAATAAGACATGCATTCCTCACCTCAACATTATACATTTATCGCTGTTTTAAGATCAATGTAATGATTAGAACCTAAGTAGTACATGTATACACCTATTTACGGGCTATGAGGACAATAGCAAGTTTATCGTTCCCCAAGACAGTAACTATTTCCCGAGGCGCAGCCGACGGAAATAATTGCTGTCGAGGGGGACGATAAACTTGCTATTGTCCGAATAGTCAGTAAATAGGTGTTTTATTATTGTTAATACCGAAGCAGTCTTTACTTGTGTTACGTCACAATCTGGATAAAACCAGAAGAGTTTCGAGATGAAAAGCGAGGGAAACAGAATGCTGCCGGTGAATAGTTTAATGACTATTTCACAATGGGCAAATAGCACAAAAACTATTCCACGATAGGGGCTATTTGGAAAAAATGGCATGTTTATTCGTCATATTTTTATATAGAAGAAAATTCACAGAGGTATAATAATACATTAAAACATTGCTGTGACGTCATGCCTTTGTTCTTGCAGTCTAAAACGTTACCTGTAGCCGTCCGATAATAATAATTAGCAGTCCAATAATATATTATCGGACGGCAATGATAACAAAATCAGACAGTAGTTAAAAAACAACAACTAGAGTGAAATCAAGGTTTAATTTGTCCAGAAACCAAAAAAAAAAAAAAGGTTAGGAAGAAAAAAGTCAGGGAAAGCAAACGCGAGGAAATTAAGTTGTTAAAAATAGCAAATCCAAGAAGAAACTGGAGTTTTAACCTTCCTCAAAAGTAACACTTTCCATTCGGTTTTATGCAAAGCATTTTCGATACAGCACTGAGAATAAGGCAATTTAAATCCATTTCTGATAAAGAACCAGTCTGCGAATCTCTTCATTTAACGAGGTTTGTTCGCCAATGACCGCACTTTTAAAACCCAAGATCCAATAAAAATTTTAGATAAAAATCCGCATTTTTACTTTAAATGCATTTTGAAGATATCATCCAACACTGTATCTGTATCAATGTCAAATGCATTTAATAAAAAAAATATTCCGAATCATAAAAAAATCCTTCATCAACTGACCGCTGTCCATAGTTCCTGCTAAGCCAAACGACTGCCATGGAATGAATGAAACAAAAGAGTTCACTCACTGATTTTACTGTCTAAAGAAAAAAAAACTTTCTCTTTTCTTTTGTCTACTTATTAGATGGTTTCAGGTAGAAAACTATTGATGCCTGAACTCCTATTGTGTAATTATCGGACTTCTCCAGGTAACTTTTGGACATTTAAATAGCAATGTTTTAAGTAAGATATATGCCTCATACAATTCTATATGTAAAATTATCAGACTGTTTTCGGCCCTAACGGGCCTCAAACAGTCTGATAATTTTACATATAGAACAGTATTCGGCATATATCCATTACAAATATTCCAAAAACGAAGGGCCTGAATACTATACACGTATATGTACTCAGGGTGACTAAATCATCGTATTGACCGAAGATAAATTGTTTTTAATATGATTCTTTGATACAAACTCGGTAAGCACGTTTGTTTTGAAAGTCCTAGTCGAACGCAGTGAAAGAAGCATTAAGATTAAAATAATTCATAACAACTAGTATAACTTAGGAATTTTCTTTTAGTGAGATATAGAAAAAAATGACATGTTCACCTGAAAGTCGGGGTGCAGGTGAAAGAACTTTCATAAGCTACTTAGTGTATCAGTTAAGAAGCTCTCGATCTATTTCAGGTCCATTGAAGATAAAAATTTAAAATATGGGGTGCAGATGAAAAAAGTTTTCATAACTAATTGTATCAATCTGGAAGTTCTGGATCTCGACACAATTCAATACATCAACTTGTAACCGAAAGGCAAAAGACAACTCGTTACAAAGACTCTGGTTACACAAAATCACTTTTAGTTTTTGAGGGTAGAAGCCAAGTCACTTAAAAATACATGTACCTTCAAATTTTTATGCCCCCGTAATCGAAGATTTTGTGCTAATCCCGGGCAGAGAGCAACATTATATAAAAAAAAATGAGTGGGTTTTAAAATTCAATTCCAGTGTTTAAATATTGCAGTAAATAAAATTTGTTTACGTCTCATTTTCCATAAAAACACTACGATATAATTTTAGAAACAGATTTTTAGTCAATCAAAATCTCTGCCCGGGATTACATGTAGCACATACCATTTCATGGTGAATTCGACTTTTCCACTGGGCGAGCAGAGTTTTGAGGCTGTTTACGGAGATAAAAGAAAATAAAGACAAGCATGCCATATATGGTTGTGTAGATAAATTATCACAGAAGACAATGGTAATAAACATGCAGTTTGCTAGAGCATTTCCTCTGAAAGTGTAAATAGGTGCAATTCAGGGGAGGGGGGGATACTCCATGTAATTCGGAGCTGGATACCTTGTGTTATTATTATGATAAGGGTTGAAAAAATTATTACCGAATCAAGTGCCTGTGCCTGTGCTTCACATGTGTATTTTTTTGTGATAAGACCTTTTCATGGATATAAATATTTTTGACCTTGACCTTTGAGTTTGAACCACTTCTAAAAAACTTTAATCTTGGACATAACTTTTGAACAGTTAGTACTAGAGCCTTCATATTTCACAGTGCATGCAATGTGACAAGACCTTCCTTTGGATAGCAACAATTTTGACCTATTGAGCTTGACCTTGAAGTTTGACCTACTTTTGAAAAACTTTAACCGTGTCCATAACATTGAACGGTTGATGCTAGGGCTTTAATATTTCACATCTGTATTTCTTATGACAAATCCTTACCCTGGGTACCTTTAATTTGAACCTTTGACATTGACCTCAAAGTTTGGCCCACATTTAAAAATCTTTAACCTTGGCCATAACGTTTTAATGGTTATTGCTTAGGCTTTCATAGTTCACAGATATATTCTTTGAGAAAAAGTCCTTTCTTTGGGTAGGAACATTTTTCCTCCCTCAACCTTGGAGTTTGACTTGCATTTGAGAAACTTCAACCTTCGCCAAAAGCTGTCATACGGGGACATCAGTGTTTCACAAACACATCTTGTTTTAGTATGACTTTATATAGGTAACAATTTTAAATGATATTAATACAACGTGTCTCATTGTATAGGTCATATTTGAATTTTCAGTTAGTAAGGAATAATGATATTACATCTATTTCGTTGTTGGATTTGCAAATTTTGTAATATGTTATAATTATAATTTTTTTTTATAATGTTCTTACTTACTACTGAATTGTTAATAATGGCTTCAGTGGCTTCTACTTTTCAGTGCTTTACAGTATCTGGTACATGTACGAAATTTTAAAAAATAATTCTTATCCGCATCTTGGAACAGAATATAATCTACGTAACGGATATTATATTTTGATATATATTCACGCTTGTTAGGGACAATTTCACGAAAAAAAAATCCATGCCAAGGGGAAGATCAGTGAAGTTGTATATATAGGTACCAATATTCCCACCCCCACCCCACCCCCATGTTCCATGCTTTGTCATTAAATTCCTTTTACAAGGTCTTTGATTGTTCTGCCTGCTGACGCACCGCTGGGGTTTACTGCATGTATGGTGCTTTATCAATGATATACAATACTAAATTAAATTTTAAAGAACACGATTTTTCATATCAAGACTACAGGAGTGGAATCGAGGCAGGGTCGGGTCCATGTATTTCTTCCCTGACTAAAAATATTAAGAGAACATTTCTTCGCTGATATAAACGTTAATAAGAGAACATTTCAGTCGATTGCACTTCAATATTGAATTTAATAATCTAACCTACATGTAGCTAAAGTTGAGCAAATTCATTTTTTATTGGCAACATTACTTATTAAAATAGTTATAAAGATGTAGCAAAGTACACACCTGTTGTTTTTATCAAAGCTTAATAGGACCAAATCGTCACTTCTAAAATTACTAAAATACATAATGTATCATTTCAGCATGATTTTTAAACAGATCTAGGAGTTGCAAATTCATACATTGTACTTTTAACACATAATTTTAATAAGATCGGAAATTTTGGAAATAGATTATCTCCACCATATGTAGGTACAAGTGTTGCATCGTGTATAATGCTTACAGTTTTTCAATGTGTTTGTTTGCTTTGTGTTTTAGTGGATGAGGATAATGGGGTTGGAATCTGTCTAAATTCTATTATTGTTGATATTGTTTGTGCCATAATATCTACAAGTACATTGTTACTGAGGAAATTAATATGCACTGAACATGTTGAAAAAGGGGGAAAAACAATATTTAGAATATCCCAACAGTACTAAAATCGCAGTACAAGGGGCTCAAACATATTGTTTTTTCCATCGTTCAAATTGAACTTCTACTAGTATATCATAATTTTTTCGAATAATTGTTTGATCCCTAAACTTAGGACCCCCCCCCCCCGAAAATAACTTACTTTGTCTATTATATTTATAACACAATTTAAGAATATAGGAATAATGTTTTGAGGTGCCTCCTGCATATTCATTTTATTTAGATACATCTTTTTCTTTTTAAATTCATTCTCTGCATCATTTTTTTTCCGTTTTATAGTTATTCTATGACACGAAAAATAGAATTCGTAAGATTAATTGATAAGCAGCGTCAAATTATAATAAAACATGTATGTGGATCAATGTTTTAAGTTTTAAAACAAAAAATTCTAATTCATTCATAGGCGTCGAAACCGGAGGGGGGGGGGGCGTGTAGGGGGCTTAGCGCCCCCCCTTTTTTTTTTTTTTTACAAACATAGTCATAATATATAAGCATTATCATTCCCCCTAAAATAAAAAAAAATTTCATTGCATAATACACGAAACAGTGAAGATTACAAGGTTCCAATCAGCAGATTAGAACTCTACAAAAAAATCTTTTGTACCTGACACTATTCGAAAATGGAACTCACTGAAATTAGAAGTCAGAGAAGCAACTTCTCTTAACACTTTAAAAAAAATATCACTGATATAATTACTAAACCCCCGAAATATTTTTCGTTTGGTAAACGTACTATCAATATTATACACACCAAATTAAGACACAACTGTTTGCTAAATTATGATTTCTACAGACGAAACTTTATTGATTCTCCGAAATGTATTTGTGGTCAGAATGAGGATGTTTACCACTTTTTCTTTGTTTGTAAAAGATATATAAGAGCAAGAAATAATCTTTTTGATAAACTTTTTAGACTGTAAGAAACAATTCTAATAGATACACATCTGTTGTTATGACGTACTGATACTTTTGTCTTATGATATGAACTGTTTTATTTTTTCAGCATGCAGTTCATAAATTTATTAATGAATCTGGAAGATTTAATTAACATTTCAATTTATTTATGTCACTTGCCAATATTATTTACTATGTTATTATAATGACAATTGTACTAACTGTGTTAACTTTACTAACACCAGGAGAAGAACTTGTAAGTTGTAAGAACTTGTTTCTAACCCTTTTGTGTTAAACAATAAAATATATTCAAATCAAATCAAGTCAAATAAGCATTGACCCCCCCCCCCCTCCCTAACATTTTTGTTGTTTAGCCGCCATCCACTTTCTGTTTGTATCCAACGCCTATGTCTTTTACTCCGCTCCCAGTTACTCTCACAAAGTCTTGGCAAGGTCACTATGTTCTTTCTTCACATGGATAGACAAAAGCGTTTGCAAAAATTGACTGAATTGACAGAGTTTCGGTAATTTATTGTGTGTTAAGCAGGCAATGTTAATTTCTGAACTGGCTGTGGCTCTTTACACTGCAATTAAGGCCAGACTACCAATTACCCTACTTTACAAGATGTGCCCAAACCTGACACTCCTTAGTGAAGATGACCCCTGCATCGCATTAAGACATTCGAAAGAAAGGAGTTAGCAAATACAATGTTGTAACATTAATGCTGGTTACTAGTAAATAAAACATCAAAATAAAATTTCACAAGGATCAAATTTAGAATTTGAGTAAGAATTTGAACATGCGTGTCATACATTGTAATTTAAACTAAAATACATTTGCCTAAAATTCGAATTTCTTTTTACATCATGAACTAGGAAGTTTCAATATTAAAAAAATGCATTATAGTATGGTAACCAGTAACTTACAGAAAAAGCCTAAACATATATTCTATTCTGAATTTTATTATTATTTTTTTATAAGTCCATGTATTAACCCGGGTTATTTTAATTAGTATTCTTAATTTTTACCACTTTGCTACTCATATTTCATGTATAGTTGTATAGTATGTATACATGTAGTTTCCTTAGAATTATTAAGCGTGGGAAAGGTTTTACAAATAAAATACATCTAATTATATACATGTAATAATGAAAGTTGTATTGAAAGCCGACTTATTTGCTTATATCGTAGCTTTGTTGGGACGAATATTTTTTTTCCACAAACTTAACTAATTGCATATTAAAGTAAAAATAGCAGTCATCTGTATGTACAAATAATTGTTGTACTTAGACCACGAAGTCTATTCACATCAAAATAAATAAATAAAAAAAAACATTGTTTTTTTTCATATTTATAATTAAAGTTAGTCTTTACATTATAAAAAATTATATCTAGGATTTTTTAGGCAAATTTGCCACTGATGTCTTTATTTATTCTCTTGGAATATATCTGTCTAAATGCTCAACAGCACTGCGGAGTCGGGGCTTCAGGGAGGTCATTTATCTTTCTAATGAGCCTCATCGGTTATTTCGTTTATTCAACTCTTGGCTGCAAACGGGAGTTAGATTATTTTTGAAAATCTACGAAATATGGATGAAAAGTGCTAGGACAAATTCTGACGAATGCGTCAGTCAGCCTATTGGAAATACTGTATGAAAGTATTTTGAACGAAATGTGAAGCCATGGTACTTCATAAATCACATACATGTGAGTATATTCTTTATTGTGAGTATTCTAAACTATTATTATCAGGTGGCGTTTTACAATAACTGTTAGTCAGTCGTCGTAAACATTTATTGTAATATCTTTGAACCCCACGCTCAGCGGCATTTATCTGTTTATCAAATTTTGGAGAAAATTTTAATGCAATCTTCAAGAATCGCATTTTCCCCAAAACTCATGTTTTCATGGTTTTCATCTCCAGTTAGATAAGCTAGGGAAGTTTCTACCAAAAACGTTAATTTCCTGACAATACAATGCTAAGATTGGGCTTTATACCGACTTTATTCATGTAGTCGACATGCTTTTAAAAAACGTCCTCTTTTTTTACTTCTATGTTCTAGCAGACACACTGAGTATTCTTCTGTCAATTTGAAAATGTATGACCTCAGGTTTAGGGATTGGGGTGCTAGGGCTCGGCTCCATAGAACATGTACTACATAGGAAGAAAAGAATTCTTTCACCTCTAGATCTACTCAAGGGCAACTTATGGACAGAGTCCATGCCGTGTATTTTTTTTTAATAATAAGGTAGGCTCATTCTACAAAAAGTTTGAATATCATGACAGCAAGACCAGAGTACTAGGACGTGGTTTAACTTCTTTATGTTTAAAAACATTCAATCTCTATATTTTTCTCTACACCTGTTTATCTAGCAGACACACTGGGTACATTTAAAAAAAAAATGTAACTTTCAAGACCCCAGGATAGGATCAGGGGCTCAGATGCTAGGGAAAAGTTTTATAAGTATTGTACTGGAAATAATTTGTTTGAGCACAAGCAAGCCAACTTTTTGTAAGTAATGATAAGCCTTTCTAAAGTATATGATATATGTTAAGGAACGGGGGGGGGGGGGGGGGGGCTCATGAAATCGAAAATACTCGAATAAGAGATCTGATTCACCGTTATTAAGGTCTTCCGTTTCCAACGGAAGACCTTCTACTGATTGTGATGATTAAGATTATTCTTTTTTTTTTTTTTTCCTAGACGCCAACTTTGACGCTTCATATCTTCCTCATTTTTAAACAGATTTTGTTCAAATTTTCAGAGCTTTTAGACTTTACAAAACACTGTCAGAATACCGTAATACAATTCAGAAATTACCTTCTGTTCACGAGTTATTCCCCTTTGATTGAATTTCGCATGCCTCCCATTTCCAGACAAAGGCTCAGAAATGGTTATAATTGGAGCACAAAACTCTTTGAAATTGAAAAGAGGAAGCATTGAAGTTGTGCACATCGGTTTTTGTTTTTTGATTTTTGCATTAAAAATGGCGCTAGAGAGGGGTCAAAAGTTAGAACGCGGAAAACAGCAAAAAATTTGACATATTTTCCTTTATATCTTGAAAACTAGAAATATTTTGTTAAGACATGTAGAACAAAAGTTGTGCATAATTGCAAGGGCTTTCATATTTTACTATTTAAAAGGGGCTGGCCCCTATGATTAGGGATCTTGGGCCCTTAAAAGTTTTTGCTTTATAACTCAAAAACGGTAAACATTTCGATCTGGATCTTGGGAACAAAATTGTTCTTTTACACCTTTTTGATCTAATGAAAATGTTGTTTTGTTCGAGTATACCATGGGTATTGCGTAATACGTATTAGAAAGCAGGCCAGGTAAACAGGTAACGTTTTTCATTCGGCAAGGAAATCAGACCTCTTCATGTGTATAACTTAAACAGACTTGCTATCAATAATATACCCTGCGGTATTTAATGTTAATTTTCTTTTTAATAAGGTTTAAAACGTGGTTTATGGTTCACTATTAAATTATTTATTACAACTAGTCTTTCTTTTCTTCTTTTTTAAATTAGATTAATAGTGTTCAAAAACGGAGAATATTAAATCTATCTTTCTACGTTTATTATTACAACAAACTTTGTAAGCGATTTTAAACTGTATGCATTGAATAATTCACGATCATTAGCTGTATGCATATTAGGTCTCCATGTTCAGCTCGATGTTTAGTTATGTAACCCAACGCGCGAATCCCACGCTGTTGATCGAGGTCACCAGTGTACTAGCCACCTGTGGCCATAAACAAAGCTAGTATTTGTGATCGCGTATAATGTCAATTTTGTACAAAGAGCTATTAATTAATGGAAAGTTATGTTTTTAATTATATCGAATCAGTAAGATTACTTTACCGATCTTTTATAATCTTAATTCCAAACACTGGTGCATAAAAATCATTTTGAATTTTAATCGCTGTTTTTGTCTGTTCACGCAACAATACATTTAAAAAAAGTATTGCTCTATCCCGTGTTGTTGTATTTTAATTCATCTGCAATTGTAATTGAATGGGGGCTTCGGTAAATAATTGTAATTACTACGCATTCTACGCACATATTATTTTTACCACCACTCTTGTGAATGTCCATTTATTATTTATAGAATTAAATAAACATTAACATAAATAAAAATTCCTTCAAATATACATGTACTATAATTCAAGTCTTTGTAATATAGCAAACAGTTTCATCCGTCTCTGCCGCTTTGTGTCTTTAAGTGTTGTAGTCCAGTCCTCGTTTACATACATGTGGCCACAGAGAGCCGCGGGCACCTCGATGTTGAAATACATTGTTGCTCTACACCGCACAAACAACTAGCGTGTACATGCAGTGTAGTAATTGGCAAAGATTGTTTGAAAAATATAAACTCGCATGTGTTCGCTACGAAGCATTCATTTTAAAATTTTATTTACATGTAGATACCTTATAAGAACAAAATAAAGTAAATGTATAACGCCTAGAACAATGTTTAAAAATTAAAATACAAATATCGTGTGCTCGGAAGGGAAGATGGCTTGAAAGGGTGTGTCTGTGAATGCTTAGATCTAGCAAAACACTTCGCAAAGTTAAGCATACTTGTGTCCAAATCCTTTAAAAGTGGGGGCAATCCCTAATCCTCGCACCCTTCCTTTTTGAATCTAAAAATATATACCATACTGAGAGTTGTATATAGCGGGAATGTTATTTTATTAGTCCTTAAAGGCAAACCTTAAGAAATGACTTATAAATTTTTTTTAGA